CTGCGTGTAAGTGTTATAAATTATAGTTATAAAATAACTATTTTTATATATTTTAAGAACTAATAAACTTGTACGCAATAACAAGAATCTTAAATTGTCGTGTCGAATCATAATTTGTATCTTAAATTGTCATGGTTGAGTAAACATTAAACATTTTAATTTGTAAGCGGAAAATTTTAAACGCACTATCTGATATTATCAGCATACGGAATAATCCGGGATTTAATATCATTGTATCGTTAAACGTAAAATGATTAAATTATCTTTAATGCCAGTGTCATATACATAGTTGATGGAAAAGTTACAAACAGTTGCACACGAAATAAGAAAGAAATTTGACGATATTGGTACTTGAACTTAAAAATTGTATGGACAATCGTTTTTAATTCATCGCGATTATAGTCGATAAATGACAAGCAATCGCGAACAAAAGGATGTCAAAAATATAGGAAAATTACCTATCGCAAGTCGAAACAGATAACAATAATGATAATTACAGTTTTCAAACAAATAGATAATAGATGGTTTTCAACGGCAGATTGGGTCTTCGTGTCGAATAATCGAAAAATCGAAAAATCGAGCGATTCAGGTTCAATTCCTGAAAACGGCTGTAATTGTCATTATTTTTATTCTTTACGCGACACCTAGCGTTCTTTCAAAATTTTTTATCTGGTTATTGCGATAAGTGTTACCGCATGCCTCAGTCGAATGGATAAGACATTCGCATGTAAAGCGAGTGATCCAGATTCGATTCCTAGCTAGAATAATATTTTTCGTAGTAAAAATTTTCAGGGGAATTAATCGATTTCAAATTTGATTATCGCATTAATAGCGAAGGGGAATTTAGATTTAAGCTTTGAGTAGATTACGTTGCAAAATTGTTGATTTAACGATACGTGGTTCCCGACAAGCATTGTCTTGTAATTCAGAAAAATTAAAAAAAATTATTCAACACGAAGACCCAGTCTGCTATTGAAAGCCATCTATTGTCTATTTGTTTGAAAATGGCTGTATTATCATTATTTTTAATCTTTACGCGCCACCTAGCGTTCTTTCAAAATTATTTATCTAGTTATTGCGATAAGTGTTACCGCATGCCTTAGTAGTCGAATGGATAAGACACTCGCATATAAAGCGAGCGATCCAAGTTTGATTCCTGGCTGGGGTAATATTTTTCGTAATAAAAATTTTCAGGGGAATTAATCGATTTCAAATTTGATTATCGATTTAATACGGAAGGGATGAATTTAGATTTAAGCTTTGAGCAGGCTACGTTGCAAGATCGTTGATTTAACGACACGTGGTTCGACAAGTATTGTCTTGTAATTCAGAAAATTAAAATTATTCGATACGAAGATCCAGTCTGCCGTTGAGAGCCATCTATTGTCTATTCGAAACAGATATCGATCGGTAGGGCTTAATAAGCAAATCAAAGTTGTCAATGAGCACAATGCTGTCAGAAAGATCAAAATTGGTCGGTCAATCAAAGCACTTAATTTTTTTGCAGAATATGAAAGTTTCGTAAATATATTAAAGTTATATATCAAAGTTATAAAGTATTTAATAAGATAAATTCAAGGATACTACATTCAAGTATATAGATGATATGTAAAAAAAAGGAATGAATAATAATATATATCAGGGTTTTCGTCAATGATTTCAATGATTTCAAATATAAGTCATCAGCTATTTATTATATCAGCTTTATTCGCTCAGCGTAGCCTTTGCTGCGATAATTAATTATGTGCGTTTTAAACAGGAGGAGTGCATTTTATCAATGATAGCGCCGTGATTTCTGTGTACATGAAAACCGTGGACACCCGTCAATAACAATTGGACATTTACAGAATATATATATAGAATCTGATTATATATGAGTATGGTATCATGGAATTCGTCTTGCGGAATGCTTGTAGTTATATATAACTTAATATATAACTTTATTATCCACATATTTTGCAAAAGAATTAAGAGTGCTTTGCTTGACTAACATTTTGACCTTTCATGACCCCTAATAATTCTTGATGTATCTGATCTAATGACTAGGTTCCGTAAAGCGCATTTTGTTATAATATACGTGACATGAACTATAGATAAATACGCGCATATGCGCTTTACGGAATCCAGCCAATATTATGCTCATTAACAACCTTGATCTAATCATCAAAATTGTCGATACCTATTTCGATCTGCAACGCGATAGGCAATTTTTGGTATTCTTCTTTAAATAAAGTTATTTTTTCAACTTTCAGATAGTGAATACCCGCTTTCGAAACTGTAAATTTTATAGGCATACGGCGTACATACGCTGTACCATGCCATTATATACGCCTCGGTAGTAGTTGGATTATATAATTGAATATTCACCAATTGTATGATTGCCGCGGCACATGGCACAATTGTCGGTTGGTGTATACATATGAAATGTTTTACGTGATTTACGTGTTATCCGTGATTTGTTATACTCGTTACGACTGGCCTAATTTACACAATTTTCAAGTGGGATAAATTTTAAAGTTTAAATTATATAAAAAGTTTACCTTCAGATTGTATTCGATTTTTGTTGATAAAAATTATAATTCAAGATTAATCACCTTTTCTTTACTTTTCCAAACATTTTTTGTTCGGCGTCCAAAGAAATAGAAATTTTTTTCGATAGAATATATTCATAAGTGTACGAAAACTTTTCTATATTAAGAGATAAATATCCGCGGTTTGCACATTTTAAGTGCTTAATTTCAAAGGACTCTCAAATTTGAATAAATTGATTAACTTTCAGACAGGATAATTGGAAGAGTACATGGCGTGGTAGTATAATTAATGTGCGCGCATTCAAAATATTCTTAAAAAAAAATTTAATATATATGTACATGTATATAATTCTCCCAATACGAGAGTACAGTGCGATGGGAACGTTTCGGCTTATTTTCAAAATCATGGAAATCATGGAAATTGCGAATCCATGAAATTTTCTGGAAATTTATGTTGAAGACGGCTTGAAAATAGCTAAAATGTTCGTATTAAATCATATTATCATATCATCATATTATCATCGATATAGTATAGTATCATATTAAAC